TGCAAATAATTTGGGACGTAAGAAGTAGGGGTGGGGTGGGGGGAGGGGTGGGGGTGGGGGGAGTGGGGGTGGGGGTGGGGTCAGATCATGACATAAGGGCTTAGGACAGCAATTCTTTTGTCATGCACTCTTAGCTAGTGTCTAGGGACACTGAAACTATATCCTTTTATGTTGAAAAAAAGATACAGGGATAATTACCAACATGTGTCATTTCGTTTGTATTTAAATTTTAATTTATCGTTTGATCCCTTCAGAGAGCGTTTGTATTTAAATTTTAATTTATCGTTTGATCCCTTCAGAGAGAGTCTTTGGAAATGGAGTTCATCCTTTTATGAAATTATACCTTGTTTATTTAAGATATAAAACCTTTTTTGCACCTAAAATTATAAAGTTAAATTTAGGTTGAATTGGTTTTTTTTCTTGACATGATATCATAATAGTAATTAGAACTTCAAGTTTTGGTTGAATTGGTTCTTTCGAAAACTAATTACTCTCTCTGTCGCAAATTAAATTTCATGTTTACTATTCACATGGTCAAATTTCATTCACTTTCTTTCTCTATTTTCGTTAGTCGATAAAATTATATAGTCATGTTACCACTAATTTTGTATGTCTTTTGATGTAATTTTTGAATATGTAACTTTTATTTTTTTTAATTCTACACCATTTTTCATTTAAAATGATTCGAAAATAACCTCAGTCAAACATCGTGAATCAAAACAAACGATTTAAATTGGCACAGAGAGAATACCAAAATAACCGACAAACTTCGCGTAGTTAAAAGAAAAATGATGTGAAATTGGATTAGAATAAAGAAATAATTGTGAGCCACTTATTCTTAATCTTGTTATGAAATAAAAAATTCTGAAATTTATTTTCAGAGTAGAGTTATAAAAATTGAGCATTTTTTTAGGATAAAATTGAGCCATTTAATTTGGGAGAGTATGAAAGAAGCATTATTGGAACATTATTACTCCGTGTGTTATTTGTCCACACCTTCAAATAGTCACATGACAAGTAGAAGCTTCTGATTTTTTTTCAAAGTATTTTGGACTTTCATGAAATCTTGAAATGACATGTGCGAAACACGTTGCACACCACAGGTTATATAGTTTTTTAAGGGGATATGCTAGGGGTACACCTTTGGTGTACCCCTAATGTACACCACTTGCCTCTACACCATTCATTTTATTTTCTTTTTATTTTTTACTTTTTTTTGAAATTTTATTGCCTTTTTGTGTGGTAATGGAGGGGGTGGGGGATGTTTGGGGTACACTTTTGGTGTACCCCTAGCATTTTCCTTTTTTAAGGTTTATTTTTAGAAAAATTGGTGTACCCCATTTGTCCCTCATCCCCTCCATCACCACAAAAAAGGTAAGAAAATAAAAAAAATTAAATAAATAAAAATAAAATAAAATTGAATGGTGGAGAAAGGGGTGGGGGACAAATGGGGTACACCATTCCTCTTATTTTTATACTAATACTCCCTCCGTCCCATTTTATGTCTCTTTCGATTTACGATGTTTGATTGAAATTGTTTTCAAATCATTTTAAATGACAAATGATATATAGTTAAAAAATAAAAATTACATATTAAAATACTACATCAAAAGATCTACAAAACTAGTAGTGACAATAGTACTTTATTTTATCAAATTGTTAACGAAAATTGAGAAAGAAAGTGAATGAAGTTCGACCCTATAAATAGTAAACATGCATTATAATAAAGACTTTCTCACCAAAAAGAATGAAAAATTATTTTCCCTCTTATTATTTTGTATTTTCTCTCATTTTCTTTTCATTCCACTTTCTTATGAATTATTTTTGAAAGAATTGCATATATATGAATAAGATATTGATTTGAACTAATTAACCGTTGCAGTCCATTTTTAGTATGATTTCAACTCAACAACCAATCACTATCATCTCTAATAAGAACTAAGAAGCAAAACATATCTGTGCTACTTCCCCGATTTTTAGATGATCTTATTTCACATTACAATGATTGTCTGAAATCATTTTTAATTCAATTTATATAAATTAGGATAGATAATTAAAAAATAAAAAACTATGTTCCTAACATAGTTCTACTCCTATAACAAGAATAGAAAAACTAGGAAAGTCACTAACACGATGTTTGATTCAAGGAATTATGAAGAAAAAGAAAAAAACATGAATTTCTCTCATTTTCTTCACCAAAATGGAAGGACTTTGCATTTTATCTTCTTAGTATATTTTACTTTTTTAATTTCTTTTCCTCTCTAACCAATCTCTAAAATAAATGGAAAAACTTGAAATTTTACTTCGTTTTGCATAAAGAGTAAATGATTTAGGGACGAAAGGAGTTAAAACTTAAATACACAAAGTTTGTGCATTTTGTGAATGTTTTGTTTGTGACTCTAGCATTACTTAAAAAAACTCAAAAAAGGAAACAGAAGCCTTTTTGGGACTACAACATTCTATTGGTCTTATAACACATCCAAAAATGAGGACTTTACATCACAGAACACAAATATATGCTAGAGTTGAATACAGTGAACAACTGGTGCATTTCCCTCCTCTTAAGTCTTAAAATTAAAACCAAACAGAGGTCCCAACATATGCATAAACAAACACCACATAACACAATCAAAGCTACTGTGAAGAGCTAGCTATACAAAAAGAAACACATTGTAGTGGCTGTACATGGTTGAAAACGAGATTAAACCTGTACGAAGCGCCTCTTCCAAGAAATCTCCATGGAGACTTGATTGAGTTAGAGACTTAGAGATGATGTTGCGTATGATCCACGGCGGAGCCCACAAATGCTCGCCCCCAATAACAACACGGTCAGTTCAGACTTTTATTTCCGGGTTGACTCTTGTTCATGGGTCCTTGTGGGGTCTCCTTGATCAAGCCGAGAATCCTTCCATGAGCTTGAATTGGAGGAAGATGTTAGTAACAGCCCCAGAGATGCAGAGCACGTCGCTCTAACAATTGCGTCTCTGGAACGTTTCATCTTTCCCACCAATAATCCAAACACCTAAAGATTACACAAATACATTTCACCGGTCATAAAAAAGCAATGGCTGGGTGGGGTGGGGTGGGGGTGGGGGACTTGAGCTAGACCAATAAGAAATGTAATCCATCATGTACTCTGTAAATTTTAAGAGAAAAGGTTCACGAGAATTAAATGCATTGACAAACACATTTTATAGTACACACCCTCTTCCAAACCCTACTTTTTGTGTGATTTTACTGGGGTTGTTTTCTCAACTGACGCTTTACATAATTTTGCAACGGTTGATACTAAAAAATAATATGGGCAGAAATAATTAGACCAGATTTCATTTTAGCTAATTTTGGAAAATTTTGCATTGTAGGTGCTTAGAAAATATACATGCAAAATGGTAATTGGAGCAGATTTGGGGTGGGCAGAGGCCGAGTATGACCCATAAAAGGCACATAGATGAGACAAACCTGGCTATAATAAAGGGCTGAGATGTGCTTATCATCTGAAAGCGCAAGCATACTGCTACACAAATAAATGGCATTGGCTTGAATAACTGGCCATGGAGAATCAAATGCCTGAATATAAAACATTTTACTGGATTAGATAGATTGCAGATCTGATCAGTTTCGAATTATGTGCTTCGATATGTTCTCCCCTATAGGAGTTCCTTAATCTCATTAGCTATGTTGTTTTATATTACAACAGAAAGAAATAACATGATAAGGACGACTCCAAAAAGTAAATGAAAATAACCAACTAATACTTTTGCAAAATGTAACAAGTAACCAAATAAACAGTATAACAACAACAACAACCCAGTTAAATCCCACAAGAGTAGGGTCTGGGGAGGGTGTGTGTACGCAGACCTTGCCCCTACTCGAAAGTAGAGAGGCTGTTTCCAAAGAGACCCCCGGCTCAACGCCGAAAGTTGCATTGTTTGACTAACTGCTACTTCATTAATTAAAGAAGCGCAGACAGTTTAGAGATCCGTTTTGATTTATTCCATCACACCCCAAAGCCAAAAAATGGTGAAATTTTGGCTCCATCGGACTAATATTTCAGTGTCAATCTTCAAAGTCTAGCATTTGATCACCACATAATAATTTATAATCCCCTCGTCTCATAAAAAGAGTATGTTTTACAATGTTACAACCTTTTAATTTTAGTAAAGCATAACTATTTAAAATCATTAAATATAGCAATATTTTTAAGTCACTTTTTGGTATAACTAAATGTAACACACACAATTTGTTTGAAACAGTCTTTTAAAATAAAATAATAATCAATAGGATGAAAATAAGCTTCATTTGTTCAAAAAAAACTTTTTTCAGGGAAAGATAAGTTATTATTGTTAGGGGGGGGACTTCTTTCTCAGTTGAAATGAGTTCTTAATTTATAAATTTGTGTAAGCAATATCTGTTAGTCCTTTTTCAGCGTCATAGTTTTCAGATTAAGAGTAACTTAACAAAAAGAATTCCTCAACAGATTGAACTGATAAGAAACATTTTCATTTTCTTAATTTTTACGAGTATAAATAAATTTAAACAAGAGTGAGTCAGACCTGTATTATTGCTGACACATAAGTGTCAACTCGGGGGCCAAGATACTGAGTGAGTTGCTTTGCAAGATCTCTCAAAAAATCTTCATAATCACTTCTGAAAAGTAAAGATGGCATTATACCTAGTCATATTGAATGCGAAAGGGTCATGAATAATCCAATAATAACATACCTATGGTCCGAACTGAACCGAAGTGCATTGAGAAGAGCAGGGATTGACTCAATTTCAATTAATGGAGCAAGACATTTTAAAGTGGTCTGTAAAACAAATTTCAGTTTACTCAAATATTCCCACTCCCAAGTATTGACAATGTAGAAGTGAAAAGTATGTTCAAACTGGATTTTACCCGGCAAGCTTGTCGGACACTTGTATCATCATCGTGAAGATGTAGAATCATACGGGGGAAGGCAGCATGAATCTGAGGGTAGGAGAGAGTGATAAGCTTTAAGAGTTAATATGTGAAGTTGTGGCACCTAAAACACAACCTAAGAGAATCAAGCAACAGAGGCCAATATCATGGCATCATAACTCTACAATTTATACAACAAATAACTTTGGGTGTTTCCATTTATAACAAGTACAAACCAATACTCTGTATATTCCTAACTTTGTTGGGGCCTTTAGGGGAGGGGGGGGGGGGGGGGGNGGGATGGCGATGCTTTTCCAATCATTTTCCAAAACCATCTTTACCAACTAAACTTGCGAGGTGCAATTGGCGGGGTGGGGAGATGGGTTCGGGTCAGGACTGGGTAGGGGGTTTATCTGGGAGAGAGGGGGTAGGAACCATCAATTTTGCGAACGAAACACCATAGGTGCTCCAAATAGGCGAGTGTCATCGTTGACACAAGCATCTAGTGTCAACAGAACCACCCCGCAAAACCATTGTTAAGTCGTATATAGTACATTTAGTTAAACCAACAATAAACTTTATAAATAATAATATGATTTGATGACTCCTAGAAGTTGTACCTTACCAAAAGAGAAAGTTGTCCCTTGACTAAAGCCTCTTTTTATGGGACGAGAGCATACAAGACTTATTATAAATGCATTTTCTTGAACACAAAATACCCATATGTATGTACACTAGTTTCTAATAGTTCAAATCACAGTCCAGACAACCTGTTCACGAAATGAATCAAGTATCGGGCCTTCGACATAGGTGCTGAGTGCACCAAATGCTGCAAAGGCATTTGCTCTAATCTTTGCATTGAAGCAAACCTGTTACCCAAACAAAAAATACAAATAGAGTGTTGACCATATCATATTCGTAAATTGTTGATGCACAAGCAATGAGAAACAGTTATAGAAACTATATATCAACCAATCGTTATCTCAGGACATTGTCCATGTGAGAGGGGAGACCGTACAATGACGATTCTGGAATTTCATTTCATCAGTCATTTGAGAAAAAAATGTCAAGGACATCAGGCATTAAACTACACCGCATTTGGCATCCCACTGAACCCAACATAGTTGAGATTTAGGTGGTGACGATGACAACTTGGTTGAATAGATAGGCAATGCAAACAGGAAGGCATGTTGAGTGCCAATAAGCGATGTCCTAGAAGTGTGCAAGAGGTGTATGATGTATTCATCACAAAAGAGACAACAAAATAAAATTGCCACAATTTTCCAACTTGAGAAAAGTATTCTGTTGGTACCAAATTGTGAGCATTTCTAATGGAGAAATTCGAAAAAAAAGTCACATAATTAAGATGTTCAAATGCCACAAACAGATCAAACAGTTTGGCATTGGGTTAATATTCGACTACTAGAAAGTAGAAAAGCCAGATAATGTGGTGTAATCATTCTAATTGAGGAAACTAGTACCCGTCATTTGATACACATATAATATGAAATTGTTTCTATAGGAAAGCTATAAAAGATGACAAAAGAAGAAACATGTAAATGCTTGTATCTAACTCACTTGAAGATTGCGAAGCCGAATTGAAAGGTTGAGCAGTACAGGTTCCACAGCATCAGATGAGGAGGACTCTAGAACCTGCAATTGCATATTCCAGTTTCACACATGCACCATGGTGGGAGCTGGATTGTAGTTTATAAGATGTAAAGGCATATAGATTTTTACCATCAATAAACATGAAACTGCAGTTAATTGAACTGATTCGTCTGAATCATCTAGCAAAGCTAGTATTACCCCAAGAATCTGAATAGTGTATTGAAGGACATGGATGGATGGCATCTGCGAGTCCAAGTTGTAAGATAGTGCTCATTCACAAAATTTATGAGATTAACCATTTAATAATAAGAGTCCACAATTGCAAAAAAACATAGTAGTTGATAAAATTAAAAAGTTGAGGGAAAAATGGAAGTTCAAAATGAGCATAAATACCTGAACAAGACCTCTTAGACAGAGACGTCTCACTGTTGGAGAGTCGTCTGACACATGACGGCACAATGCTTCAACCATCTGTTCCAAAAGAGAACCAAAGCCATCACTGCACTCATGAGGAAAAAAACAGGAGATTATGCTTTATAGAAAATACAGCATGTCGAATGAGAAAGTTCAAACAACAATGGCCTTTAAATCAATCCCTAATTATTATAAATAAGACATATGACAGAGACTCCAATGTTCCAAAAGGAGAGTATTTTCTTTCCTTTCAGCCTTCATTCATTTTACCAGAGGACAAACAAGTGACAAGTTTTGCCAAATCACCATGCAAAGTCGCTCACTTTACACATATGTGGGCCTAAGTTATTTAATTTTACGGTTTTTATATAGTTTTAATTCTTGTGTGAGTGTGTGGGTGTGGGGGGGGGGGGGCACAAGCAATGATCTACGATCTAGACATACCTATATCGTAAAAACTCAGATAATGCGGCAGCAGCAGCTTCCCTCTGCAGTCTTAGGGGACAGTCCAATGATTTACTTAAGAACAAACATATAGTTGGAACCTGAAAATATTATATATATATATATATATATATATATATATATATATATATATATATATATATATATATATATAAAGAGATAACCATTAATATCTATTTGTGTTCTTGTTTATTCTTCTTCTTCATGTGTGGATGGAAAAGAGGGAGGCATTCTAGTAGATTCGTGTACCTCCTTTGGCCTTTTTATGGAAATGCTTCCAGCAAGCTCCCTGATAAGATTGATCCACTTCTCATTTTCATTTTTCTCTCCACCCCTAGCAAGAATCTGTATATAATATTTTCCTTATTTAATCATCAACCTCATTGGCAAACTCATAAAAACTCCAACATCACAAAAAGATGACTACCTTTCCCATCTCAAGATCACCAACACATTCACAGAAAGCTTGAAATGCATTGAGTAGAACACTGAATTCAAGGGAAAACAGGTAGTAAAAAGATATATGTGCATCTCAAAGGAATTCATTGAATACGTTAGCTGCATGTAGACATGACATCATCATCACCGCCACCTTAATCCCAACAATTTAAGGCTTGGTGACATGTAATTTTAGTGCGAATTAATTGTCTAATTAGTTGACAGTATCATTAGTTCATGGAAACAAGCATAACGGAAAATTTTTATGCCGGATGCCCTTCACATCACAACCTTCTAAAGACAGAATAATGAGATTAAATTCTAAAATCATTATGTAGACATGATGACATGACATGTGGCATAATATTACCGCAGTGGTTCTTGTTCCCCAGTACTAGCTAAACCATGGCAGGTCCCAAAGTGAAGAGTAAGTGTAGCAAGCACAGAGGCATAGCTTTGCTCAACAGTTTTTCTCCCGAATTTTCCACCACCTCTGATGAGTATATATATATATATATATATATATATATATATATATATATATATATATATATAAGTAAATATAAATTCTGGCTAATGTGTTGAATGCAAAAAAGAAATAATTAAATAAATAAAATCAATCATGAAACTCAGAAGTAGACCTGAAGAAAGCGGTGAGAGCAACAACTGCTGTACGTGAAACATCATTCTCTGTGCTACCGTCAGCAGAATTCCTTGAACTCTCACCTTTCCAAGTATCACCCTTCAGGATAGGAGACTGATTGATGATAAATATCACATGCTCCAGAAATGAATGTGAAAGTACCAAATGTTGCGAAAAAGCCTGCATTGAATGACTCCCAAAAATTAAGTTATGAAGATGTTTATGTGATGTTGTGGTTATTTTAGCTGCTGGCCCCCAAGCAAAAAGAAGACTGTAAAACGAAGGAATTGACAAGATAACAACCAAAATTTGCACATACCAAATGCAATAAGTGTTTGCAGAGAAAACCTTAAAGATATTTCAGTGAACAGAATCTCGTGGTACTTGATTCTTAAAGGTGTTCAATATATTCAGCAGGCATTCAATTTGAAGATCACATCATTACATAAAATAAACGCATTCTGGAAACTTAGCGAGACATAATATGATTTACATTGGCATAAAGGGAGCTCCAACTTATTCCACACCCTGTGACTCCTCTAAAAATCAGTGGTGTAAAAAGTGCTAGGTGCTAGGCGCTAGGCAGGTTACGCCTGCATGGGGTTAGGTGGGGAGAATTAGAAAAAAAACATAAGCAGCAGAGAGAAGCCCTAGGATGGAACACAGTGGGGATTTTTAGAACAGTTCTATGAATACGGAATGATGAATATATTACCCATGGAGCTAAAAAAGTCATGATTGACAATTTTTAAGCTTTGACTAAACAATGGACTAAATCAAAATGACTCAATTAAATTCCTCTGCTTCTTACCGTCTATGAAGTTTTGGGTAGTAAATGCAGCAATGCTTAAAGGGTCCAATGGAAACAACCTCTCTGTTTTTAAAGGGTTAAAGTTGTGTACATCTTGACGCTCTGACTCCAATGGAGTTGGGATTAAAATGGGGTTTGTTGTTTTTGTTGTTGTAAAGCTATAAATATGGTATGAACAGAACAAGAGGTAACAAGAACAAGAAAAAGTTTCATATGGTGTAGAACACAAATGAACGATCAACCAATATGCTTACATGAAAAGCGTCCTGTATTGGCCAACCACCGCGTAGTCTTTGTATATCTTTTGTCACCATATCCCGTCCTGCAGCAGCTAATAATTCATTGAACACAATTTTTGAGTTTGTGCATTCAGCTAACGAACATATCTTTTGACAGTTAAAGAAGACCATACCCATTCATAAAGGAATTCAAGTCAAATGCAAAAACATCTTCCAACAAGCTTTAACAAATGAAAATATGCAGCGCAGTGGTAATTAAAGTAAATTATACACGAAGAGAAAAAAGGATACAGCTCCAAGAGCTTCCTGACGTAAATACTTCTCAGTAACTTGAAACACAGCAGTGAGCAAAGATTGTGATGTCCTGTTGTAATGCAAAGTGATGAAAAAAATCACCATCGTGTGAAAAATAAACTTTAAAAAGCAATACATTGCATATCAAGAAATCCATATGTAAGTCCATTTATTGGAAAAGGACCTTGAAACATCAATCTCATTTAACTCATTTCTTCTGTTCGTAACAAACTCAATCACTGCTTGAATAGAACCTTCGGCTGATTGCTTGATTTTGTCACATATAGAACCGGAGCAACCATGCAAAGCAGCAGCAATCTGAACAAGTATAATATTGCCAATCACATGATAAAACTTTCAACAATGTCCAAAATGGTAACACAGCAGTATAACAAATGGGTGTAAACTTACTTCATCTTTATTTAGCAAGGTACAAACAGATGATACAACCCGGTTGAACACCTCAGATGGATCTATTGAAGCATCCTGGCAATACAAAATCAAATTCAGATGGGCAGAAATTTCGTTGAACATACAGGAAACAAATTAAGAATAAACTGTTAAGAGAACTTACGCTTTTTAAGATAGCTATAACATCCTCAAGGGAAGACAAAGCATTATAAGACCGCTCGATATCGGTGCTCGGACTTGAACTTATGGGCTTAGGCAGGGACAAAGATATACTGAACAAAAGATCTAGAATCTGGATGGAAAAAACATGGGATCTTTTATAAATGAGATCAAAGGAGACCTGAGTGTATGAATATCACTCCATTTAACTCAACAAATGAACATGAACTTCATTCAATTTAAAGAAATAGTGATCATTTCATTCTAGGAAACTGTATAAACTTGCCTGAACAGAGACTTTCCTAACTTCATAATTTGTATCTATGCATCGAGGAAGATATAGCATTACCCGCTCTCCCAATGACAATGCATCACGACTGGGTAAAAAAAATGCAGCTGCCAATAAAGAAAAAGAGCATTAAGAAATAGAAGTTCAACTAGTCACATGCCAGGATTGACTGAGAAGAAAGTAAAATTACATGGTAAATTAGAATGGTTGCGATTGGAAGAATGGTCAATTTTTTTGCTATGGGTGCAGCTACCCTGACAGCCCAGTGCACAATATCCATTGACATAGATAGTACGAAACTTGACAAGCAGCTCATGAGCCGCTAGGCATCCTCTTTTTCTTTGATACTCCAAAGAAGAGGAAACAAATGGATCAATCTTTCTCAGTATATGCAATAGTTGATCTGCTCGACTCCTGCCATCTTCTCCACTATTTTAGAAAAATGATTAACAAATGAGTTTAAGGAACATATGACATATAATCCATTACTTTGAAATAAACTATTAAATGCAACTGCTTTTGAAAAAGATAGATCAAATAAAAGCTGTTAAAGCAAACAAAGCAACAGAAGTACCTTGTGACCAGTATCGTGCATAAAAGGGTAATAAGATTGTCTATAAGAGGATTAATAACATCAGAAGGATCGTTTGGTAGACCAAAAAATCCAATAGTTTCCTGTCAAATGAAAAGAAAAAAAATAAAATTTGACAACATTTCTCCACACCATATATCCTCCATATCAAAGTAAGCAAACAACAATTGACATAAAATTTCAATGATTTGCACCTTCATAATAAGATTTCTTGTTTCAGAAATCAGTTTTGGCTCCACAGATACTAGCGTAGTGCAGGCACTTAAAGCAAGGGACTGCAAATATCCACAATCCCAAATTTTAAGTGGCAAAAGCAAGGTAAAGGATTGTAAACTAAAAAATTGTATATAGGTCAAACACAAATTATTAGTCAAACTATTTTACTCCGGAGTAATAAATAATTAAACAAAAAACTTTCCAAAATTAGATATCACAAACAAACCTGGGTGTGAAGAAGCTCAATGTTAGATTCAGAAAACCCATCTTCCTCATCTCGGCCCATTAGAGTTATTATATAGTCAAGTAATAGGTCTCTTCTTTTTAATGGGAATGATATACCTTTTTCAGCCGCACCAAATACAGCCTGACCTGCATTTTAGTTAATGAAATAATCCAAAATTCCCAAATATTCATCACAAAAAGAACAGCACTTGATCATAAAAAAAACACAAAAAATTTAATACATGATTGAATCAACCACTCAAGAATAGAACGCTAAACTAAACTCCGTAAACAACTTCCTTAGATAAGGATGGTACATCTTAAATCCATCCAGAAAATACAGCATATGATTATTAAGCAAAAAAAAGACTTCTGCTAAGCTTAAACTACAGTAGCTCAATCTCTTAATAAAGCAAAGGTAAACGCAAGGTGACCACAGAACTTCAATAAATAACTTCATAAACCCGTCGAGTAAAAATCCCATGTTTGGAAATATCTGTTAATGGAATGAAAACTAAACTAAAGTTTAAGGTAGTTGAAGATTGAGATATAATGATTTTGACATTCCCTTTTCACCTTCCTTTTGCAACTAAAGAGCAGGAACACAGCCAGTTTTCAAATAAAAATCCTTCCTTTTCACCTTTTTCTCTACCTCAAAAAATCACTCTTAATAAGAAAATAAATTCTGTAACTAGACCATAAATCAAATATTGCAGGCTGATGATGAGGTAGCCGGAGCAAATCAAAGTGATAGAAGAGGCTTCTGCTGAGCTCTAGCCCAAGAGCCCAACTTAAACAAAGTTCAGGCTCTTGCTGAAAATCCAATACAATCACCACTCCCTCAATAGCTCTAGTCTTTCAAATCTCAAACTAATCAATTCAAATACTCATTTCAGTACTTGATCAGCTGCTAGCCTGCTACAACTTCTGGGGATTAATGAAGCATGTCTTCTATATGTACAGTTGTGCATTGGATACAATAGTTTTCCAAGTTATTTTTGAAAATTCACAGAAAGCGTATGGTTTCACGTTTTTGCCAATCGAAAAAGCAGCAAGATAGTCAGTTGATGCACGCCATTCAATGAACTTGAGCAGAGGTTGAACTTAAATGTTGTTATTACTGAGTACACAGATGGACATCCAAGTGGAGCCTTAGTTCCTAAAGAAACAGATTTCGCTTCTTTAACCAGATCATCATTGCCATCCAATCTCAGATGGGAGGAGGTTTGGCTGTTTACAGGGTAGTCCAAGGAGTGAGTAGTTGTTTGATCGCCTTCTGCTTTATATGCTTTTCATTATTTTCAGTTTCCTATCGAAACACATTTCTGCTTTTTTTATAAAATTTACTTTTATTTGTGGCTTGTGCTTATAGAAAATATGATATTTTCATAAATTCCATATATTTTAATCCTTGCATTAACACAAGTACTTTTCCAAAAAAAATTGACGTAGATGAAGTTAGATGGGAGTATCTTGAACTTCAAGCTCGTTATCATTAAAGCTTGTGTGGGGTTTACTAAATTATAAATATAAAAGAAGTGCAGATCCATACCATATAAACCCAGTATATCCCACTTGAAACTTGGAAGTAGGGTCTCGGGAGGGTAAGATGTATGCAAGCATACCTCTACCCCTAGAAGTAGAGAGGCTCTTTCTGTGAATACCCACAACTAAGAAAAATTTTGGGAGGTTTTGGAGGACGTTAAAATTTCAAAGGTGAAAGGTAGTGTGATCAATGTGGTTCAAAATTTGTTTGAGCAATAAAACAGCTCGCAACAACTTGTATGGTCATAAGCAGATAACCATAAACATAAAGATAAGAGCTTGCAAGTGTTTCAGCATACCTAATAAATCAATAGCAGTAATGATAGCCTGCTTTGATCGGGGATGACGTACATGTAGTAATCGTGAAAGCATATTGGTTCCCTGTCATCAAAGCAAGAGTCAATAATCAAACAACTACTCCCGTTCCTTTTTAGAGTGTCTTTCAGGTGTGTGCACATATACTAAGAAAGCAATAAATTGTTCCAAACTCAAGGAAGTAATTTAATATTACTACAACATACATTAATGTTTTGAAGTACTAGGTCACATTTATGGATGTATAAGGCTAATGGTTTACAATGATCAATCACTGCTCCATTGGTATCCGAAAGAGAGTTATTATTTGAGAGGAAAATCTTCTCTAAAGTGACATGTAAGCCCAATTTACAGAACGGAAACAACGGGACAGGTAAGCCCAGTTTACATAACTGAAGCGGCAGTTAGATGAGAACAGAGAGAGTATAAAAATTAAAGCCTAGACCATATTACTGAGCTCATGCATATCAAGTTAATGAGAAATAGAAGACTTCGTCTATCTACTCAAAAGTAGAAGACAAAACTTGCATGCTCGGCTTTTTACATTAAAGCGAACTTTATTGGATTACAAAGGAATAATGAAGAGAATTTTCAGCAACTTTCTCCGAATTATGAAGGCCTAGTTAAGACAATATTCTCGGTCAACCTTAAAAACACTTTGGATGTTAAAATTTATATTTACATAGAATATTCTGGAAGTCAGTTTCAAAAGTAACAAAACATAATCGAGTGTGAATATATTCTTTGCATAAGTTAGGAGTTCTAGTTAGATAAGATCTTATGGACTAATGAAAAACAAGATTAGAGCATGACTTATATAACACACACACACACACTATAGATAGGTTGGAAAATTGCACACACCACAAGTGCATCTATTCTGGCTTCAATAACTGTTGGTGGAGCATATTTAGCAGCATAGCCATACATCAGTGCCAGAGCAGCATGGGTATCATCTGATTCTTCCATTTTAGCTCTATCCGAGAAAAAAGAAAGAATTCTGCAGTGACACGATTATTAGATCAACAACTGTTTATGAATGACACTTTTGTCCCTAGTCCCTATAATGTATGGCTAGTTGTTGACTCCACACCCTAGTTAGGGACAACAGCTGAGTTATTAGTGAGGTGACATAAATGGTCCTTCTCAAAGGACCACTTTTACCACACAAAGTATCAATACAGTACTAATATATTTGAACACTTCAGCTACTGCATTACTCCATTCCTCCAAAGGAAACATGTCATAGAAAGAGCCGAATTTAAACAACAATTTGAGGATTAAAATCTGGGATTGCATTATGGAATTGTGCTATGAAAACCAAATTGAAGAAGCTGGGATTGAAGGTAATCAGAAACAAAAGCATCACCTTTGTAAGATAGTTTGGCCAATGTTGTCTAAAATGTCTTTAAGTTTATCTAAAACGGTATCCAAATGTGATGCTGCCACCTGCGACAATATGGCAGCCAATTGTAAGGTTGTAAACAGCAAATGGCTGCAGTCCAATCAATACAAATATTATCTAGTTGCTGAGTCCAACTAATATAGGTAACAGACTATTCAGGTGGAACCAGTTACCAATCCCATGGCTTTAGCTAAACCAAGCCTATTTGTAGGGTCAGCAATATTGGCTTGTCTGCACATCTGATTAATTTTGGCATGAACATAAGTTCTATCATGAACTTTCTGCAGCAAAATGCCAAGACACCTACAATAAATGAAAAGGTCAATAAAACATGTAAATATCACAACACCATTGCAGTCACTTGAATGCATACCAAGTATCCCAAACATTAAACACAAGATCTGATGCTAGGGATTCAACTCAAATAGAAGTGGAAACTAGACACTATTCATGTTTGCATGATTTTTTAGTGTTAACTAAAGTAATTGACACTACAGACTTCATTCCACCAAGCTCAATTAGTTGCATGTAAAAACTTTGCAGAATACGAGATACCATTCACTCTCTTCTGACAAATGGATTTAGTATACAAGGAAATGTTAATTTTATACATGACTTTACACGAACTGATGTGATCTCGTGACTCCACTATGATATCCACTGGCTACTTGTGAGGTGGTTAACTTTACAAATAGTTTATCAAATGAAGCCATGTAAATATGTATAAAATTTTGTATGAAAATTTGTGTGTATCTACAATATTTGTACTACTCCCTCTATCCAATTTTAAGCTTTGACCAAGCACAAAGATTACGAAAGTGAAAACTGTGTACTTGACATTTATGCAGAGAATAGTGAAAACAGTATTTTCCATATAATGCTTTTTATAAATGAAACTTATGAAAGCATGCATGAAAACTGGGATGGACCATTAACATGACAATTAGGACAGAGGAAGTATAATTTTTTCACACTGCATCACAAACTGAAGCGGGATACTAAACAATTGTACTACATCACAAAATTTTGTCAGACAAAGAATATAGAGCTATTTATTACCGATGAAGCAATGCAGAGTGCTCATTATCAGATTTATAAAGTTCATAATGCTTAGCAAATGTATTTCCTAGTAATAGCACCCAATCAACACTCTGAATCGCATCCAGAGATTCTGCAAGAAACTGTGAAGCACAAATGCATGAAACTAAGAATATGGAATCTTTAGGCAACAATCAAGTAATAATAACCCCTCCGTTTCATTATATTGTTCACTCTTGCATGGGCACATATTTTACAATTAATAAAGGTTGGTAAGGTATAGAGACTGGAGAAGAGAGTGAAAGGGGGTAATTTTAAAATCAGTGATGTTGGGTGGTGTCTAGAGAAGATAGAGAATGCAAAGTAAAAGGAATATAGAATTTTATTAAATAGGCTCTTTCCAAAATGGAAATAGGAACCATAAGTCTTAACATGGAACACCCCCAAAAAAGAAAGCTAGAATAGTACGAAGTGTGTTGAAATGGAGGGAGTATTAAAAAAACTATTTTATCAAATCAATAACAGTGAAAGAAGATATATACACTGATAATCATGTCATCCCATGATTCTTGATATAAATGATCCTGCTTTAGGTCTTCAGTATCACTCACATATGCTTTCATCTTTGGAATCTAGAGCTTATCAAACAAGACAACCAATTAGGATGCAGATTAAAACTATTTTAAATGTATTTGGGAAGCATACAAGAAAAGCCCACCAGAAGGCAGACAAAACTACATAGGTGGTATTCGATCCACTTGGGGAAAAATGATGCATAGATTTTTTTAAAAAAAAAAAGAAAGAAAGAAATCAATAACCACATTATTCTAGATACCTCTAGCAAAATTTGTTAAACAAATATGAATTTTTCTAGCTGACAATAGTGTTCATGACAATGTTATCTGATGTCTCAGCTACACAACCTACTTGCATAAAGAACATAAATGCCGGTTTGAAAAAAGAAACCTCTTATGTTGCACCTAGTAGATTCTTTATACCTCATCTTGCCAAAAAGAGTTGATGTTCTTTGGAAAGAGTGGTGCTAGGTACCAGAGGACCTGCAAATAGAAATTGAAAGATGTTAAGAAGAAAATTCTTTTGAAACAAAGTGCACAAGCGAATTCAAGAACACAAGTACAGAATCCTAAGAGCAATTTAGACTCACAAAAATTCCAAGGCAGTGAAAGTTAGGGTGAATGGAATGAGAAGCATCTGTCCAAGATGGCCCGATTTAAAAGAGAGGAAAAAAAGGAGACTATTTATAAGAAATTAGGTGTCTCTCACTTTCCCTAATAATGAGAAACGTTCACTAATTATGCAGTCGTGTAGCTTTCTAATCTTTGCCACAATCAGGTCTTGAAGCATATAGAGGATTCACAGTTCACTACGAGGTAAACAGTTGAGCAGATGAAGTTTTTTCAGAATAACCTGGTTCTGAATTTTTAATTTTAACATAGAAGTTCACTTTTATTTCCCCTAAACATAGCTTCACCAAAACCCAACAACTAATCGAGCACATATATGGTTCTCAATCATATAAATGGTAAACACAACAAAATCAAAGAACTCCCAGCTTCCGAGGAGAGTAATAACTCATGTAATCATAAAATACTAGGCCTTTAAATAGACTTACAGTCAAGATATGAGTTGCCAAATGCTCCCTTGCCAGAGGATCATGCAGGAGTACCACTAAGCGAGCAAAAAGTTCCTAATTAGGAAGTAAATGACCGATCGGGTCATTCATAATTACACTCACCAAACTATGAGGCACAATAAAAAATGCACAACACCAAAGTGTAAATTGACTAGAAGGATGCTTGCCTCGGGTTGTGGAATATCAGTGCGGGCCTTACACTCTGAAAGCATCATGTTACTTCCAGAGGATCTGCGTCTGCACAGCTCTGAGATGCATCGGCACACCTGAAAAAGACTGCTCATAAGTGCTCGAGAAAAATTAAACTCTCAATGCTCTTTCATTTTCATTTGGGATCAAACTCTCTATCATTTAATGCATAAACAGAAACGATTAAATGAAAGGCTGTCTGCACAGCATGACATGAACCAAGTTCAGGAAGTAAACAATTTGAGGCGTGCAAGAGTTTAAAACTTGAGGACAATGAAAAAACACGAATGCTTAGAACATTTTTCCCACAAATTTCTCCTCACAGTACTAGGAAGTTCTCATGAGCATTAGAGATGCATCTTACAGTTGCGACTGCACCAGTGTAAATTCGTGGAGTAATCATTTTCAACAGATATGGCCAGAGAACATGCTGTAAAAAAATTCAGCCATTAAAATTCCAGACTAGTATAAGCAAAAACTTTAAAAAGGACTATCGTTCAAAACACAAACGGGTAAAAATAAGAATTTGGAACGAGAAATACAAAAGTAGAACTGATAAAAATCTAATGGGCATCTATCTTGATTCTTGACCACACTCAGAAACAGAAGGGGTAGAGAAATCATAATATACGTATATACCTCCATTTCAGGAACTGTCACGGTTATTAGAAGAAGGCCCTTTTCGCAGATGCCTCTTAGCTCTGTTGGAGTGACAGCGCTTGCCTTAAGCTGGGTTGAACAAAAAGATCTTAGCATTAAAGATAGACTCAAAAACAGCGCTGATCCAGGATTATTTTAGGCTTACAGGGTGGAACCTAGAAACAGCCTCTCTACCCTCTAGGTAGGGGTAAGGTTTGCATATACCCACCCTCCTCAGACCCTACTTTGTTGGATTTTTACTGAGTTTACTGCTGTTAGGTGATATTTTGTCATCAGGCATATCTTAATAACAACTTTAGTATTCCTTGCTCTGATTGCCTGCATGATGCTCAATCTATAAACTGTCTTAAACCTTAAAGCACATGCACTGACACACACACACACACATATATATATTGTGTGTGTAGTATTAAAATTTCTGGTCAATATTGATGGGCCATGTGCACAAAGCAAGGAATTCTGCTAAGCTAGAGAGATAGTGTTACAGTCTAACTATGCATAAAGAGAAGATTTGAAATCATTTAAAAAAGTATTACACCAATGAAGACCCAAAATAAAAAGTTATCCATAAGTTAAGGGTTGAATCCAACCTCCAATTTGTTATATACAAAGGGGTTATAATTGCGTGTGAACCTAGATGATTCCTTCGAACTCTCATCATCAGCATTTTCCAGATCTGTCATTGCACAATGGCGTACAAGATATTCAATGAACAACTCTCCAGAGGAACCAACCAGGTAACAGTGAGAAGCCATAACAACAATCAACTGCAACCACAAAAATATCACATCAATGTTGAAATTCGCTGGAGTATATTATCCATGTTGTCTACTTGTGTGCCTTCTGTCAAGCCACTGCAAAGCATCCTTAGATCAATAACAAGGCTATCATAGCAGCCCTATAACACACATGTTTATATTGCCCCTAGCGGTGCTTTTATTTAAATAGTGCACCCATTCTTGTAACTTTTATTGTGCTATCAAGAAATGTAAACCAAGCTTCAGTTGTTAGACGCTTAGATGCCAAATTCTATTTTCATAATTAACCATATGCCAGTGTTGAATCAAGGAATGAAAATAATTAGTAATTGTAAGAGTTTATGACACATTAATGTACGAAGAAGAAGAAGAGTACCTCTGCAAGAGCTTTACGAACCCCTAAATTGTGTTCATCTATTAACAGCTTTACTGATTCAATTAAGACAGGTCGTTTATTGTGCCAAGCCTCAGCCAACCTTTAAAGGGAAATTGTAAGAGAGTTAGAAGAAGAAGAAGAAGAAGACCATTTGTACACACACACATGCTCCATTACTAGAGGATAAGGTGCAAAGGATGTTTAATGTGCCATTTTGATTTAATCCATTTTTCCCTAGAAATAGGTTGATCAGTCAATATAAATGTTTGACATACAAAAACAGAAAAGATGTATTACATCCACTCCATGACTGAATTGAGATTGGTTGACTTCACGGAATTTACGAACAGTGTGGCTGAAATTTTTATAGAAGAAAGAGAACTTTTGAGCCACACATTCATCTCCATAAAAGGGAATAAGGAATGAAGAAAATTGTGAATGACAAAAAAAGGAAAGTGTGAATTATGGAACAGAGAGCATAACACAATGACTTCCTCTTTCTAAAAGAACCTTTTTTCAAATAAATGAAAATTAAAATCAAGAAAGATGTTTTCCGTCCACAAATATAGAAATCAATGAAGAGGTGACTAATGGATTGTAAATTTGTGAGAGATCCCTTAATTTAGTAAACATGGGTAGAAATCACAGCGAAGGGCCCACTGCAGCAATGAGCCAGTGACATAATAATTGTAGAGCTTAATGTGGTCAAACTAAAAGTCAATCACCAAAAGTGGTGATCTCATTATAGACATGAGATTAAACATGGTGAAATTTAAAGTCAAGTGCTGACTGCTATGCGTGCAATGTCATAACTCAAAATAGTTGTGAAAATATCTGCTTTGTAAATGTTTATCTGAATATAAATGTAAAAGAATATCATCTCAGTAAAGTGAAGAAAAGATACCTTGGCAATAGATGCTTTAAAACACAAAGGGAACCAAAGGTGAATGGTTCTTCTTTCAACCTACATTTCTGGTGGTGGAAACCAAAAGGTTTGTTAACAACAGAGAAGATTCATTTCTAAAATGAATAAGAGACTTGAAATAGAACCAATATGTATAGATTCTTTGCTTCCCTGGTAAGATTGCAGAAAAAACAGGGGAACCCCCTAAAACTAATGAATAGCCCAAACCATCCTGATCTATTTGAAAGGAGTTCCATTCGTGTTAAGATTACGCCTTAATCCTCAACTTTTAGAGATTTGGAAGAAAGAAGAATTTGAAAAGGAAAAAAACTTCAGGATTGACATGATTTAAGTAAACTAAATAATTCAGATTTCATAACATTTTGAGGCATCAATTCTTTCTTTTTTTCTTCAACAGTCTCTTCTATTTCTTTCATAAATTTCATCTTTGGGCATCATCCTATCCTGTAAAAAGCTATTCTTTCTTTTTATAGCTCATTTTTGGCTGCAAGGTTTTCATTTCCACTCCATCTCTGCAAAAAATGATCCCCGAGAACAAAATTCTAAGTCCACATTGCATGACTCCACTCTATTATCTACTTAAGCTAAGAGGGGAAGAAATGGTTGAAAATGTGAAAATTGAAATCACAAATGCAAATACGTAGAGACTAAGTTAAAACTTGGTGTGATAAATTGATAATCAATAAGTCAAGGTAGGCATTTAAAAAGCTAAACTTGGGCCCACATGTTCAAAAAGGTTATCATGGGCTTTGGTCCCAGCTTGCAAAAAACTATTTCTTTTTTCTTCTTTCTCTGCCAAACATAATTTTCTTCAACTTCAAAATTTGGAAAAAAGTACTACCCCCATCCCAAATAATCTTCTTTCTTTCCTTTTTCGTCCGTCCCAAAATAAATTTTTACTTTCCTTTTAAGGAAAAGAATATGTGCTAAAAAAGTTTCTCTCTTCTCATCAATTTCTAACCACTCCTTTTTCACTTGTCAACACTTTCCTGAACTCCGTGAAAGTCAAGCGCAGAAGATTATTTTGGCCTTTTGGGACGGACGGAGTATATATTTCATCCATTATGTGTTCACATTTTAAACATTGATCATAAACATACTTATGTTCTCCTTTCAGTCTAGGGTATAGCGAATGGGCGGTAGCTCCACCCCTCCACCCCAAGTGTATTTTGCAACACACACATTTCTTTGTGTCAGTACATGTGTATAATACGAGAACAGCTCTTTCGTGTCATTACCAACTCTTGATGTATTTGTGTGTAACATCCTTACCTTATTCATAGTTTTGTACATCCTTACAGACATTTGCATAGCTGGAAGGTCAATTTTTCATAAGTAAATTTTGTTGTTTAAGAAATGTACTCTCTGTCCCCAAAACAAGCAAGTTTTCATTCACTATTGAGAGGGTGAAAGTGTCAAACTACGTCTTCTTTCCTTACATATTTTCATTGAGTATTTGAAAAAATAAAACAAAGTCACATCTAGTTTTGTAGAACTTGTTATGTAGTTTTAAAATATACTTGTATAGGTTTTATTTTTTAGTTCTACATCAATCTTCAAATAAATGGAACTGATAATATCTTTAGTCAGCCATCATAAACCCGCAGCAGGAACTTGTTTTGGAGAAGGACGGAGCATATGAATGATTTTCTTTATTACGTCTCAAATTAGGGGAGTCCTGTCCCTTGCCAATGACTTGAGGTCTTCAATCATTCACATTACTTCAGCGCACAACCAAACTCCAGTGATCCCCCCTCCCCCTCTGACCAACATGTGATAACGGTGCTAACACACCGACAAGATAAAAGTGTAGCACTGCTTCACATGTATATCAAAGATTTTAACTAAATGAATTTTAATATCCCCCTCATTGAAAATCCTGGATACGCCACTGTTTCCAGTGGCTGCAAATTTTAAAACTAGATAAATAAACTGATTGTAGATAGAATGCAACCTACATTAAGAAGGAACACAAACAAATCCTCAGGGTACACCAACCCAAGTGTTAGAAAACAATGTTGAACTTCATTATAAGTCTGCACACAAAATACATAAAAAAAACAGTACATCAGCTATTGATTAGATAACCTCAGACAGAAACCATAGAATAGAAAAGAATCAGTGAATCATAAAATAGAAAATGTTTGCATATGGAAGCAGAAAGAGACAACGTGCAATTACTTCTTAGGTGATATAAAAAAATTCCGTGTTTCAGATTTTTTTTTAAAAAAAAAGTCCAAGTTGCTAAGACTCACTAGATCCGTTGATGCAAATACTTCCCGAAACGTTATAAACAGTAAGAAGCAAAGGAGGTTTAATATACCATTTTGATTTATTTCTGTATGAACTAAAAAGAATGTGAATTTAATATTTCAGACTGATAATATATTATAATTCCTTAGTGGATAGGGCTGTCTAGGTTGTTTACCATGGTGGCACGACTCAGTCTAGTGATGAAAGGTTTGACAAACTTTGGACCATATGCCAAAGTTTGGAAAGATTTGGGTGGCCAAGTCAGTTATGGAATGTAATTGCTGACACGGAAGGCACGTAAGCAACTGGATCAAGAGGCCAAGGTAATAGAGGCCATGAGATTCAGGGACAAAGCCAATACCCGAGAATAAACTTGTCGCACAAGACAGCTCTTCACGCCAAAAAAATCTTTAGGAATTGTAATCTTCTAAAGTTTTATTCAGAGAATACTTATTATATTTTCTCACTGCTCTGATCTGTACAAGAAGCCCAATATATATGAATACATTGATGGCATAATGATGTAAGCAATGACATCATCATGACATAATCAACAAAAGTTCTAAAGGTTAAGCTGCAACACCACAGAATACGACTGAAATGTGCTTCCCTCTTAATTCATGTTTTCAATTCATTTTAGCAAATACTTTATCTTCATCTACCCAGTCTATTCATCACCAAAATGGGAAGAAAACGACAGGCAGTGAATCTGTCACCAAAAGTCATTTAAAAATATTACTCCATTCAATTTTTTTCCCTTGCACCCCATGCAATAATTTCCAAATTTTACTACCGAATAGCCATCTAGGTACTGCTTTTTTACAATAGTATTATGCAGGCACACAGAGATAAATACGTAGTATACGAGAATGAAGTGTTCACAGAATTAAGAAAAAATAACCTTCAGTCCCAGTTGAAATTCTGAATGCTCTTTTTTATCATTATTGCTGCAAACCACTAGAAGAGTTGACAAAACAACAGTAAGGTCCTGCACATAGGAAAGGTGAAGTAGCATCCTTTAGAATAGTACACATAGCTCAAGCATGACATTGTTTTAAGAATGAACCCAAAAAGATAAACATAAATGCAATTATGCAAAACCTTAGTTCGCATAACATAGAAATAGGGTTCAATAAAGCAAACTAGCAAAGGATATAAACTTATACTTCAAGATAGAAATGTATAATCAATTCTATTGAAAAGAAATACCCACGCTCTCACATTGAAACAAAAATTAGACAATGGCTTAGATGAATGCATTGAAATGCCTAACAAGCAGCACTTCAACTTCTGAATACTAGCTGTCACTTATGACCTATGAAATTTACGTTGTCATTTTGTTTACAGGAAGACAGCATAACTACTATTTCTCTCCTGTCTTGCACACTGAAGAAAGCTGAATTCACACTTTTCATTAGTTTTAATATACAATTACTCCCTCCTTTGAAAAAACCGTTCCTATTTTGACTATTGGGAGGAATGAGGAGTGTATATTTTGTGGTTGACTTTCCAATTTTTTCCCTTAATGTGATGGGTAAAAGTAGGATGTGATGAGTAGATTAATGGTAAATAGATATGATGTGATAGTTTAGGTATGGTTTAGTAGGGTAAAATGGACTTTTAAGAGAAAGTGGAAGTGTTTTTTGAAAAAGGAAAAAATGAAAGAGGACGTGTTTTGAAAACCGGAGGGAGTAGCATAAAGAGAAGGATATTAATCCAGAACCGATATGTGTTGGCTTGCTAAGCAAGTAACTACTCATGTTACCTACCTCAAAATCAAGTAAAGGAGGGCCTTTGTCAGAGAGTAATGATGCATTTAACAAACTATGAAGACTACAGGTAGCCACGAACGCAGCATCTTGATCTCTCTTGTACCTAAAAGATATACAAGGAACCATTATGGCATGCCTAACATAACAAACTTAAGGTGTGACAAGGTGAATAGCTTATCTGCAACGGAAGATCCATAAATTTTGGACAGCAGGGAAATAATACAGGAAATAATACAATGAAAACGGACAAATCTTTTTATATTATTATATTATAAATTATATTATAAACTTACACACAGTTGGCATGAGGATATTAGCTTTTGGTGCAAATTAAATGATGCTTCAAATTTTCAATTTAGAAACTCATACAGCGCAACAAATGGATACGTAGTGAAAAGCTACTAAAAGGAAATAAAATAATTTCTGAAAAAACTATGAGGAAATGGAAAAGAAATTGGATTTTACTTGGAAAAACACACTTCCAAGCTTTTTTAGCCTACACATAAATTGACTTTTGGAATAACTTTATTTAACAATTGGGGGCAATTTTGTCTGATAAGGGAAAATTCGATTGTCTCGCCCATTGTGCGTATGACCCAACAAGTCTAATGAGAACAAAAAGCAAGCAGAAAAAAATTATAAGCTTAGTATAGCACATAAAAGAAAATTGCCAGTATAGCACATAATATGATGCATATGTGACGTACAGCTCCAATATAGTTGGAACAAGCCTTGGTAAGGCTGCTTTCAACTGTGTTCGTGTAATAAGACCAACCATCTGACCCAAAGCTTCCACAGCAGATACGCGAACCTGTAATGGGAAAAGAAAAGAAAAAGAACATACAGAACTCATCTCATCAGTTGAAGCAATGGGAAGATAAAGAATCTTCCTAAGTTACTATCTCGTCATTAATGAAATGATTAATAAATAAAGAAGACTGCCAAAAAATGCTTTCATGAACAGGCTATTAGTGAAAACAATGAAAAGGATCGTGATGAATAAATTTCAGAAAGTGTTATAATTATAGAAAAGCCAGTGAACTTCCCAACCCCCTCTAAATCTGAATTTGTGTAGATCTTATGTGGGTTGAGCTTGTTGCCATTATTTTTTTGACAAAATCATTGCATACCAAAAAATTATACAGTGAAGCAGGTTACTATTAAATGTTGAGTCACAGCTGTCACAGTGTATTATTGCACAACTAGCAGAAGATTTCTGAACTGATTGCAGCTGCTTTGATCAGTACTACTACTTCCCATTAGATGAAAAGTGAATAAAGATCCCAAGTTAAACAATTTTGATGTGTGCTTAAGTATCGTGAACATACTGTCCCAATCACTACTTCCGCACATAAACCAAAAGGGTCTCTCTTGATTCAAAGTTCAAAGACTTGTTAGGAGTGTGCCCAATGCCAAAGCTCCCACACATTGGGGAGTCTAGGGAACAGCATATCTGGGCCACCATTTCCTTGATTTTGGCAAGGAGGTGGGTTTGAATTTTGAACCCTAGACCTCCAAGGCACAAGGGAAGAGACCTTACAAATTGTGTCAGACCCGCCCTTCCGTCTAAACTCTAAAGACTTGTTGAAAATTAATAAGCATCCTAACTAAATAAATATGAATATGTAGAAGGTAATTTGTGTCCAGTCACTATTTTCAACCCATAAACCAAAAGGATCTCTCTTGATCTGAACTCTGAAGTCCAAAGACTTGGTGGAATTATCTTGACCATCTTTTCCCTTTATTTTTGCATGGAAGTGGATTCAAACCGTGGACCCCCAAGACACAAGGGAAAAAACTTCACCCAGTGTGTCAAGCCCGCCCCTCATTCCAAAGACTCATTGCAAAATTATTAAAATCTCAAATAAATGAAAAGGAGTTTGTAGATGACTAGACGGTAACTTGTGAAGCTGAAAAATGGAAGACTATATTCTGTCAACCTTGAGATCCCGTGACATTGCCCAAACCCTTAGTAGGAGCTCAAAGGCAGAATTAAGAAAAGACCTGAAAATTTGAAGCAACTATGAGCAGAAGGATCCAAAAAATTATGCAATAAGCCAAAAATTGCAGCAGACGCAAATTAGTCTCACACAACATCAGCATCAAGCACTGGTGACAAGGAGAAATCCACACTATACTGCCAGCATGCCTGGCACCAGCATTTAAGCGCTGGAAAAAGATCAATATTCATAGTTATTTCAAGTGAAATGTGTGAGGCATGCATGGGTTAACTCATGAGAATAGTGCTGCATTCCAACTCGATTATCTAACTAAAATGGTAGGCAATGTAAGTTCCAAAATTTCATACTCCCTCCATCCCCAATTAATCTGGACAGCCTGATTTCACGTTGTTTAAGAAAAGTGTTGAGAAATAAAAAATGAGTGGTTGAAATTTTTTAGAAGAAAGAGAAGAACTGCAAACCACATATCTTTTACACTTTTTGGAAAGTAAAGAAGGGTGTAAATTTTTAGGGAAAACTTAAAAAGGAAAGTGTATCCATAAATTAGGGACAAATGGAGTATTTAACATTTCATTAGCATCCCATTTCATGGTTCTAGCCCATGATTTTAGGACAAGGGTAAAATTAATAAATATTTATGAGTGTGCAAAACTTGCAAGAGATCCACTATGAGCTTCTATTAAGATTGGTTTCACAAAACCAACACAATAAGCTATTCAGATGTAAATCAAAAAAAACAAATAGGAGTAAAAAACTACCATTTGAAAAGATTGGTCGGTATATGTCTTTCACATTCCCAAGAATGGGTACTACTCTAGCAAGAACACCCTTTAATCGTGGAGTAAACTGCAAAGCTTCAAAAACAATATATATGGCATCAGCTACTATAGTCAAATGATCCGTACCACACAAGGTAAAAGTCTCTGGCCCACATCACCCCCCCCCCAAATCTCAAAAAGGAAAAATCAGTCCACAGTATTACAAAACGGAAGTGCTAAACACAACCGACCATCAGATGATGCATAGTCTGCGAGTATTTGAACCATAGCGGGAAGAGCTGAATTTGAACCAGTGAGGTGAAAAAATACTTCTTCCATCATCTGCCGTGGTCCGTGTGTGAATGAGAAAACATCAAAAGGTCACTTAAGTCAAATATAAAAAAAGAATAAGAAAATGATTAGATGGGATAGAAAAATGAGTGAAAAAAGAAGAACACTTTTGCAGTTTGCTTTGCTCTTAAAGAACTTGAAGCAATAGTCACAAAACAACCAAAGAAAGATTGAGAAAATGACCGCTATATATCATGCTCCCACCGTCCCATAAAGGAGAGCTATTTCTAAACATATTTTTGTCCCAAAAAAGTCCAATATGAACAAATGAAGCTAATTTTCATCATATTTAATGTTTTCTATAAATAAGGTGTCTGAAACAAGTTGAATATCTTAGTCAAAGCGCTAAACAGACAAACAAAATTAAAAATATAGTTATACTCCGTATTTGATTATTTCCCATAGTTGTGCATTACTAAAAGATAAAGGTCGTGCATTTGTGAACCCGGGCTCTTTTTATGGGACGAGGGATTTATCAGTTTCATTTCATAAAGAAGACAAACAAAAGGAATGTACATTTATAGTAAGAATTCATAGAGGAGACAGTATTGCATCCATCAAAGGCGGTGGCCTTTGGGAGTTGGGAGTAGAAAAAATCCATGAGAGGAGGGAGATTTACCAGATCAGGAAGATGGGATCCTACAGATACAAGGACACCAGCTGCAGCCTTTTGCCAATCGGAACTCAGTTCCTATGAGATAAAAGGGAAGTGTAAATTGTAGCTTGACTTAAATTATTGATATCACAAGGGTTCCACATTGCACTCCAAAGATCTCGCTAAACTGTAGAAGATTAGTGTTTGGCATACCTTTGTTGATATAACCTCAGCTGTCGCAATCTTGGCAAGCTTCATCATGAAAGCAGGATCAACATCTTGCTTATCCAATGCACAAATCGCCACAGATATTACTTGAAACAAACCAGCTATATTCCCAAACCTCTAGATTCCCAAAAAAAACACTTCACAACTTCAAGTAATGCACACAACTATGGGAACAGAGAGTGGACCGCATTGTGGCTTAGGGAACAAACAATCAAAACTAAAGGGCAGTACCCGTCGTCCACCTCTTGAAACAGTTAGGCAGCAATCAAGGACCAGTAGTGGGTTCCTAATAAGAAATGCAACTAACAAGAATAAAAAAAATGGATTCTCTGAAGAAGGAGCATAAATATACTTTCAAGTAAAAAAATTGAGCAATTCAATATGCTTCCATTTCAAACAGTACACACACATATGAGCAAAAAGACATAGAGAGAGTATACAGTGATGTGAGATCCTTGAGAGCAGACATGGAGGCTTCTCTGACTCTGGGAGAGTCATCAGCTAGAGACGAGACCATAACTTGAACTGCCTCTGGAAAACAAAAATCAACAACATCATAAATAATAAAAATGAACTAAAAATCGGATTAAAAGGCACGCAATTGCAATAAACGAATGCGCGGTGAAATTCATTTTTTTTCGCCGGCGGTAGAGATTCACCTGAAGCAGGTATCGAGTTCCCGGAGCTGGAAGCAGCCATGAATTCGAAGGGGCAGAAATCAGATAGATCGCCGGAGAAGAAGGGAGCGACAAAAGCTCAGGAGAATTAAAATTTAAATTTAAATTAAAAAAAACTAAATTATGAAAGAGTGAATAAATAAATCAAGAGAAAAGGGACGAGAGAGAGACAGCTCATTTGTGCAATTCTGCGTGGCAAAACGATAATTTCTCGTGTCTACTGCCGTTTTTCAGGCTTTTAGTCCGTACCTTTTTTTATGTATTTTTTATTCCTCTGTATTTGATAAAATAATACGGAGTACGTAGTATAATTTATATTTATATCACATATTAATTTGTAAATTTTTTAGCATAATATCTAAATATATAAGTTTTAGTTTTTATTTTACAACAATATTTAATTAAATAAATTAGTTTTAAAAAAATCAATCTAACATCTTAATTTTAGATAAACATATCAACAATCTTAGGAAGTAAAAAGTCATGCAAAATTAGTACGCAAAATAATTTAAAATAAGCAATTTAAAAGAAAGCACTAAGCAACTTAAAGTGAGCAATCAACTTAAATTTCTATGCCAAACACCAAGTTCTAGTCTAGACTCCGTGATTAAGTTAAGAAAATATGAAGAGATACTACATTGTAAATAAAAAAAAGCAATAGGCAGAAATTAAGGTTTCAAACTCACTAAAAATTAAGATTCTTTTAAGAAACTGAGTCTATATCTGAAGAAAGTGACATCTCCATAACTGTTTGTGCAAACAATAAAATAAGTGGAGCTCATCAACCCATGTTGGGCGGTGGCGGGGGCGGCCGGTGGATTCCCTGACCGAGATACCCTTGTGGAGGGTGCTGCATCATTGGAGGCCTCCCCATCATATTGCCTGGAATGAAATTCGGCATAGGGCCACCACCGACCGGAGGAGGTGGAGGGGCAGGCATATTGCCACCTGGAGGCATGGGTCTAGGTCCATTAGCCATGGGCGGAGGCGGGACTGACCCAGGCGCGGTGGGTGGGCCCCGGGGTGGTGGAGCTCCAGGGGGATGTCCTTGTGGTGGTGGAGGTGGCGGTGGTGGAGCTTGAGCTGGCGGAGCAGGAGGAGCTTCAGTCCCATTGGCAGTAGGAGGAGGTTGAGGTTTATTTGCTTCCGGTGGCTTTGTCTTGAAGTGTAATTGCAACTAAAAATTAAACTCACCCACATTAGAGAGTTTACTTATTAGCCTACTAACGGGCAAGATGATAAAGCAAGGTTCAATCAAATTGGCGTGCACCGGGAACTTACAGTGAACATCTTTGTGTCTGGATCCCAATGTGAGAAGAATTTTGGAGTTGATTTGTCAATCTCTATGCTAGGAACCTAGAACAAATATATGAGAGATTAAGAGTAAGAGCCAATCATTTACATAGAACAAAAAAAGATAATCACAAAGTAAACAAAATTCAGCAATGCAACGGGGGGTTACCTTAAAGGCAATGATCTCATATGGTTCTGCAGCAAACAGAAGAAACTGATATCTTTTGTCGAACGGCTGGATTTTCTGCCAAATAAAAAACAACAAAAAATCATGTTAGACAGATACAAAGAAGTCTTTGCATGTACAAGATCAAATTATCAGTTCGATACAAACCTGCTCAAAGGAGGACATAAATCGATGCCTTGGCTTTGTATTGTCTTCAATCTCAGGATATTCAATCTGCATCAACCACCAAAACCATCAAACTACTTAAGATTCTTCCAAGAGTAAATATGAAGAAAAAACAACCAAAAACGGGGAAAGGAACCAGCAAAAAACATTTGTTCAAGCCTTAAAGGTACATTTGTTAAAAGAAGGTGGTTATTACCAACAGCAGGCTCCTTATATCGCAAATAGTCCAAATACCAAGAGACAGTTATCTGTAAAGAGTTTTCACTTTTCAGTATCCCGCCTTAGCAGGCTTCACTTGACAAGAAATTCATTACTTTAGGAAAATTTTTAGTGCTAGTATACCGACTAACATGTAACGCTCAATATCAAGGTGTTTCTCTTAAACCATGCTCCGTAAGTTACAATGTGATCCTAAATGGTTGCTAGCACCAGGGTCCTCCTAATAATTTTTCCTTGTTTGTTGAAAGGCACTTGTATGGAAGATTTTTTAATTACAACATACCCAGTAAAGTACATGTTTGTCAATTTAATATGAAATTATGAAAAACAACCCCCTTCTAAGCTTTGGTAAGGCGTACTCCATAGTTAACAGCAAAGAAACACATTTACTGATAAAATAAGTTATTAAAATGTTTCCCGATGCCACTGTGTTTTTGTTATGGAGCCTAGCAAGACCAACTGCAAGAAAACATCTAATGTCCACAGCCATGTATTAATAGGATGAAAATATAGTCCATACTACATTTTTTAAAAGGAGACTAGTCAGACCTGGAAAAGAAGAGATCTTTGCTTCGTATCTGCATCAAACTGCTTTGTCACCCGATAGCCAGGCCTGCCAATTTTCACTGCAGCACACAGCCACATTTCCAAATAAGGTATCCAGCAAATGAAAAAACAGATTTCAATCTTGTAGTTTAACAAAAAAAAATCATTTTCAACATAACCAATTTTCCTCTCAGGAAAGAACAGCCCAGATTTAGGTCCGGTGTGAGTTCTGTTTAAATTTTCATTTGTGTACTGCAAGCAAGAATGCTCATAACTTACTGTGTTTAAACATACGAATCTAAATTTTCATTGAAGTTATTGTAATTTTAAAACTATACACTCTCCAGCATGTCAACCATGATAAATTAAGTTAAACGATTGAAAATTATAAGATTCGTAACGTACAAGACTTGAAATGGTGTACCTTATCAAAGTTACTCTAAAAAGTAAGGAATGTGTATGAAATACTGCAATATGACCTCTTGTTTGGAACCATCAAGTAATTAAGCTACATTAAAATCCCTATGATTCCAAATCCCATACTATGAAGCGAATTGAACTGACAACCCCATTCAAACTGTTTCAAACGTAGTGAAAACTCTGCAAGCTGTGCATCAGCACTGACCCTTAGAGAAAAGGTATAAGGATGAACACATATACAGAAATTAACAATGAATAAACAAAAACTACATCCATGTGAAAGATCAGCCTGATCATCCAAACCCTAATCGCTAACTTTTATTATCCAAAGATATCATTGATATAATTGTATAAAATCCTCAACGAAAAAGAAAGGAAACACAAATTGCAATTGAAGAAACATATGCTAAGTATTTAAAACCTGTCTTTTTGAGCGAGATTTTGCGTTTGTGAGGCTGCGGCTGAGCAGGCGCCTCTTTGGCTTCGCGAGCAGCCCGCTTGGCCAAATTGGTCTGGTGGCGCTTCCCTTGAGTATGGGCCAAGTAGTTTCCCTCATTGTTGTGAAGCGTCAAGCAGAGCTTACACTCGTAGCTCCCGAGGTGGTTTCGCATAAAATATGGATCTTTCGCGAGATCAATCGTCTCTAGGGCTAATCTTCGAAGCCGTTCGCGGCGGTCGATGGCCTCGTTCTGAGCGGAGGCGGCTCCTCCGCTCCCCGGCTTCGAACCCCACTCTCGATCCATGGCCACGGAGCTCCTTTTCCTACTCTTTAAAAAATATTGTAAGTTGAGAAGTAGAAGATTTTATGGAAAAGGGCGGAATTTATGAGAATGCCGTCCTGTATATAACAATGAATCACTCTAGGGGCGTCCGTTCTACTAGCCAAGCATTCTGGCAATGAATGACTTTCTCATTTTTTATTTTTTTTAATATTCTTAACATTTGTAATTTTTGAAAAAATATTTTTTAAAAGAAGTAAACATATTTTAATAATAAAATAATTTTTTAAAATAATTTTTTATAGTTAAAAATCATTAAAAAGTTCAAAAATAGACAAAAAAACGATTTGTCACTGTATGTTACGACACTCCACTAATTTGTCACACGGTGACTGAGTTACTTTTTATTGGTTGAAATAATCCATGTCACCGTGTGGCATTTCATTTTTGTCTTGCCATTACCAATGCTCTAAAGACAAAAGCTCTTTCAATCAAATAACAAAACGTCATTTGTGACCTTAATTCAAAAATTTAATAGAAATATTAAAATTAATGACTCGTTATTAAATTGTCGTCGAAGTGAGATGATGATTTTTTATACTCCGTATATAATTAAAATGGTAAAATCATTTAGAAATTTGAACATTAATTATATTTTAAAATATGTACAAAATAAATATTATTTACATTAAATAATAGGCCTAAATTGTTTTATATAAGAAATCTAATTTAAAAAGAATATCTCATTTTTTTAAACAAGTCATGTATGTCTCGAGTTTATATTTAAAAAATATCTTTTTCTATAAAATATGAAAAGGTATTAACTTATAGACAAACTCAAGTCCTATTTTAAAATTGAACTTTAGTTATATTATATTTTATATGTGTGTGTGTGTGTGTGTGTGTGTGTGTGTATAATATTATTTACAAAAAATATTAACTATGTTTTTTTCCTAAGAACGAGTTGGGTTGTTACTGTTATTTTCTTTTAGAACGAAAAACCAATCCTAGTTCATCCTAATTCTGCCTCAAATTTGTAGAAACTTTCTTTGGGATCGTTATATGGTTCAAACACATTTTTAAAAAAAAAACCTACTACAGAATTAAAAGACCAAAATTTATGTAGGCTACTGCATGGTCAAAGAAAGAGAGTGTTTGGATAAGTTAAATGACCCCACATGCTTCACTTAAAGGGCTTACTATCTAGAATAACCAACTTTAACAAGGTGCATATCAATATTTGAGGATCTTGTCAAGACAATAAGTCCAAAATTCTCATAAATCTTACTTAAGTACCATCTGCAAACCAAGTAGTACCTTTTATACTAAAGTTGTTAGATTTTCCTTTAGGCCCCGTTTGGTACAAGGAATTCAAATTATGGAATTGGAATTGATGACTATAATTCCAATTCTGGTGTTTGGTAGCACAAATATTATGTGGATTTGGAATTGATAGTGCAAAAAATGAATTGAAGTTGGTGAATTCAATTCCACGGAATTGAATCTCATGGAATCCCAATTCCAATTCAATTCCAATTCCACCAATTCCGTATACCAAACGGACCCTTAAAGTACTTGGTATTCATTGGTTTGGCACATGTCAACTATTATTAAACAAATTCTTGCATGATATTAAGAATTATGAGATTGGTCAAATTCTTACATGATATGAACACCGTGTGTGCGCTTTGTGCTAAGGATGATGAGACATGCAACCATTTATTCATCAATTGCGACTACACTAGAAATGTGCGGGGTTAGAGATTCTACAATGTCTCAAGTAAACCAAATACCCCCGAACTTCTATGCAATGGTATAAAAAGTTGCCCTCAATCAAACCCAATGTTAGAAAGAACATACTCACTTGCAGCTTTAGTACCCAATTCTACTAGGGTTGGAATGATATAAATAAGAGAGTTTTTCAAAGCATTGCCAACCAGGACCAATTTATATAACCACACCATCACTTTTGGTCCTATACTCCCATGCCATTCCAGACTATTTACTCCTCGGCTTTTACTTTTCCACTTCAGTGCACGACTACAAATTTTACAATTTGTGGTGGTGGTGGCGGCGAGGGAAGGGGGCAGTGTCCCTCTTCACACGAGTGTAAATCTGCGCCTGCCAGAAACGTACAAAAGTTGAAAGAAATAGTGATATGTTTGGATACACACAAAGCATCATGAATTTCTAAGTGCAATGCAGTAACGAATCTAGCCACAGAAACAGATTAAGTACCTTTTTCTTCATGATGCTTTAGACAAAAAAAGTTGCACACTGTCCTGGCGCAAACAGCTCAACAGTCCTGAACCCAAGGCATTTGTGTACTTCACATCGCGAACAGGATTTCTAGGAGCTTGGACACGCATTACGTCTTTTAGGGATGGCAACTCTTGCAGAACAAGTTCACACGATGCTTCATCCCCACAAGCAAACAGAGCCTTCTCCGTAGTGTCACTTTCTATTATGGTGGACTTTGGTAAACGGATACTGCTTACATTTGCACAAGAAACACCTACCTTGTGGTAGTTGTTGCTTTGTATCCGGTAGACAACATGGGAACCTTGTACAGCCTGCTCCGTGAGAGAAGATGAAGGAGAAAGCATCGTTTGTGAAGCAGCAACTCCTATGTCGCCTGACATAACCACTTTAGGACGAAACGAAGCAACAATGTCACTAGTACTTGGTGCATAGGCAAGAGAAATACACACTCCGTGATTATCTGATTGAGGAATTATATGCGGCCTTCAGTAGAAAGATTTGGAAATACTCCATCAGTGTACAACAAACTATTATACCCTAAAACATTTTGAAGCTAACCACAAGAAGTGCAAGGGAGGAAATTTTATCAAAATAGACAAAGCTTGAAAAACGTTACCTTTCCTCATTACAACCAAAGTTCCACTGGCATAGGCCTACTGAAGATGCACTTAAAATGCTTCTTCTTGAACCAGAGCTAGATTCTGGTTGGGTTAAGATAGAGTGCATAGTATGAATAGGATTGACTGCAAAGCCATTGATGCATTCCACATGTCTCATAGTTTGCCGCCTATCAAACTCCATCACCATTCCATTCTGCAAGAATATGCACATTTAGAAAAATCACAGGTCATAGAGATTTTTTTGTTTGTTTTGTTGAGGAGGATAAGCAGGGATTGTTGAGTGGTTAGGACCTGTAAACCAGCATATATGTAGCATGGGTTGTTTACATCCCAAGAGCAAGACCAAGCAGCAGTCTGCAAACCCACAAATCATTGGTGAATAAAATTATGTAGTGTTTGGATCCCAAAAACTTCCAGGGAATGGAATTGCTTTAACTAGGAATACTAAATATTGTTTTTATTTAATAAAAAATTCTCCTGTTATCCTAATTCTTAATTAAAGATCACATCTTCCTTCTAAGACAAGGAATTTGTGGCTAAAATCATTTCTCTTTCAGATAAATGCCGTACTCGAGGATGATAGCACGGAGGATTGCCACCCACCACCGTTTCCCTTTGATTTTAATGCTTATGAGACTCCATGGTATATGGATGCTTTGATGGAAGGCATCTTGAGCGATCAACATGATTTAATGACCACATTAAAGATGGGTAAGATAAAGACGGTTACCAAGATGTCAAAGGCAGTGTTGGCAGTGTGCAGGTTCTAGTGAGGGATGAAGCCATTAAGAGTTGGTCCTTTACAATGTTGTAATTAGACCAGCTATGATGTACATGACTGAGAGTGAGAATTTTTCGTTAGTAAAAAAGCACATGAGCATAAGTTCGAAGTTCTAAAGATGAGGGTGGTGCAAGGGGCATGTGGACATACCATATTGGACAGGATAATAAATATGTTCTTTCAGTTTAGAATAGGGGCTGCACCTATTAATAATAAAACAGGATAATATGTGGTAGATTAACCATGTTTGCTAATTGCTATAGAGATGTGATAAAACCAGTGAGAATGATGGAATGATGGATAGTGTTGTGATTGAGGTAAAGAATATGAGAGCAAGACCACAAATGACGTCGGATACACATCTTATGATTGAAGAATCCTTACAAGGGTTGCATGTGAGGGTTGTTGGGCCTCCTTGCCTGATGTTGTTGTAACATGATCCATGTTTGCTTCTTCTTTTTTTCCTAATTGACCCCAAGTTACTTGGGGTCAGAGCTTTGATGCTGTTGCCTAATCTCATGCTTTCTTTCTACATTTTTAAACATACACATTACTTTTTCAGTATTTGATGATGGTTCTATCAGTAAAAGCATCTTTCTTGAGGTTGAGGTAAGATTTACGTACATCTCACCATGAGACCCTACTTCTAAGTCACAAGGCCTTGATGGGTTACCTCAAAAGCCAATTAAATACATTTCTTACTACGAATTCTAATTTCTATTCAAGGAATTCATGAATCATTGAGTGTACTTGTTTAAGAAGTAAACATCAATTTTACTGGTTGTAATAGCTGGGGTTAAGGAATATTGAAGGAAACCAATAAGGACTTTCAGTCTTTCACCCAAAACCTTCTCACATGAAATTTACATCAAATGGATTTAATTATTTTTAAAAATATTTCAGTAAAAACAAATCATTGGAATTTCATAAAAGTCTGTAAAACTGCTGTATGGGTTTTACTTTTCTACGAATTTTACCATGCATATAATTCATCTGAAATTATTGGAAAATCAGGATGTGTTTGGAGTGTAGTTAAGTAGAAGCGTGTATTAGTTTTTTTTAATTATTTAATTAACATGTTGACAATATATGCTTTATTTGTAGTGTATATTAAGACTTCTAAAAAACACTTTTCCTCCATCGCTGTTTTAAAGCTTGAAAACAGGCATTGGGATCCTTGAATAGCAAATTAAGAACCATAAACCAGATTCTAGAAGTCATGACCATGAAACAAGCCACACTGTTCTTTAGCCAAAAGAAGAGAAGACTAGAAATTTTACCGGTAAATCATATGTTAAAACTGTATTGTTGCTTTCCGTACTGAAACAACACATAAGCAAAAATAAGTCCATAAACATTAGAATACGATAGAAGTTTATGGCTAAATGAGGGGATCAACTACCTAAGAACTGACAACTTCTTTCCCAAGGAAGCCACAAGGACAAGCCTGTCATATGGCGATATGTGAATGTCTTTGACCGCTTTAGTGCTTGGAAGTAGTACAATGTCTTGTTTCTCGTGTTGTGATAACAAGCTCATCTGTCAAAACCAGTTAAGAAAGAACATGACACAGAGTTGATTAAATCCAACTACATCATCTATTTGCATCATAGACTAAAGAAATTCCTATATACAGCCAAAGTGAACATTCAAATGATTTACTTTCGTAAGAACATGTATTCCCCCCATTCCAGATAATCTTCTGGCAATTATAAGGACTTGACCAGAAACATCCATGTCAAAGAAACGAGCACCTTCCATCTTCATCTCTTCCTATAAAAATAATGCCAAGATTGTGTGATAACAAAAAACATTATAACTTCCAATAATAAAGAGAAGTGCACAATAAAAATAATCATACTAGAGAAATGACAGACCTTCAAGGAAAAGTAGTTGAAATGTCCATGCCAACCATAGTTGCAACTACCTATGCGTCACTACAAGCATCAGAATTTCTTCTAGAAGCCAGTATATGCAAATAAGTTACTACCAAAAAAAAGTATTCCAAGCAGATCCTTTCACCTGGGATATGCCATTTCGAAGGCTTGTTTTCCATCTCTATAGGCCAAACATCCACATTAGTTTTGCTCTGCAAAATCAAATTCACAGACATGTGTGTTCATTTTATTTTTAAAAACCAGGTCAATTTGATATCGGTAATCTACTAATGATTGCAAAGCCTAGAGAGTAGAACCCTAGACCATAGTCACAGAATTCCCTGCCTAAGCCGCGACTTCCGTATTGGTACGTGGTGTACCCAATCACAATTCAATTGTGATCAAGTCGTAGCCGGTACGGCATACCCTTTGACACGGTACAGCATACCAGATTGATCTGGTAAGGTGTACCAAAAGCCAACTGAAATCGTCCCCAGCCCCTGGGTATGGCGCACCAAGTCAAAAATAATGGCATACCAAATGCCGGCAGTACGGCGAACTAGTCCAATTTGCGACTTTCCCTCTTCCAATTGGCAACTTTCTTTTTCCCAGACTTATGTAAATTGAGTAGTTCCCACTTCCCATGCACGTATTGACTATTGAGTATTCCACTTTCCAATGTCTTATTAAAAAACTCATTTAATATTTATTTCAAAATTCAATTTACAATTAAATATTATACTTTTATATATATATATATATATATATATATATATATATAAACACACACACACACTAGTAGATTAGAATATTTTAGTTGATGTTTTGTTTTTCTATTGGATTTTGTAATGTTATGCACTTATGCTCATCTTATCTATTTTTGTTTACTTATATTTTGACTTTTGGTACACCGAACCGAATACATGGTACACCGTACCGCTTCGTACTGAAATGAACCTACCCCCCTTCGTAGCGAATTTGTCACCTCTAGCGAATTTCGTACCCGTACCGAAACGTGCCGCGATCTAGGTGACTATGTCCTAGACCACATACTATTTACAAAAAAAGGAGGCTTGAAATGAAAAAGACTGGTAATAAACCAATCAGGATCCAAATAGTTGATATTGAAGTGCACAAACACCAACATATTCCATAGATTAAAATGAGCTGAAAGATGTGAAGAGACACTCAAAATACACTGGCGATGTATCATTCAGAATCCAAATAATTGAACCATCACATAGTTCATAGTAAATAGGAAAATAGAACCATGCCTCTTTTAACTGGCGAATTTGCATTTGTAAATTAGCTTCTGTTCTCTGCCACTGAGTTTCTTTTTTGCTCCACTCAACACACTACAGAAAAAAAGGCAGTT